TATGGAACTGATCTATTTAGTGGTTCCTATTATAGTGAAGTCTACTATTAGAATTAATAATTTTGTTTAGAATAAGAGTAATTTGACAACAATGAATTTGATCCACTCCTCAAAGGAATGTTGAGAGAGAATCCAAGCACTCGATTGACTGCCACTCAAGCTTTGGAAATGTTAGAATAGCTTTTCGTCACCAAAAAGGATGATTTCATAGTGGATATTTCTGATTCATCAATCCAATAGGTCAAGACACTGTCGATTTAAACAATGAAAAAACTAGAGAGTTTAGACCAATATTGATTTCAATATATCTATGTTCTCATTAACAATATAAATCAGAGAACTAAAGCACTAAGTCCCATTTGTTTTTTACAATAAGAGTACTTTGGAATGACAATAATCAATGGAGATTTAGAGTGTATTTCATCTAGGAAGATCACTCCATTAAGACAGAAGACTATTAAGATGTTGAATGATCCTAAATCTATTTAGACAGACTCATAACTATACTGGGGATCACAGAATCACAAATTTAATAAATAACGAAATGCTAAACAGTGTATAGTAATTCTTCCACAATTCGGCTTTCTTGAGGCTAACGAAAATTAGAGATATGAGAATAATTGTCAAAGAAGTACTAGAAATAGGGGAACTCATTTAAAGATGAATGTGTTGATGTTTGTTTAAATTAGGGTACCCTTAATATTTATTAAGATTTCCATGAATTCGAAATGAAACCTTGGCATTTAAATGATTTTATTTATGATTAATAATGCTTCTCTCTTATGATATTTAATAATTATTTGTATTATTCTCAAAAGTTACCGAATAGTATTAGAATTCCAATTAAGAATCTCGATTATAATGTGAATATTTAGGTTCAATTGACAATAAATACCAATTAATTTCAATGTTTACTCTTATCGTCTGTACTAGTACTTAGAATGAAACACAAATAATACTTATTCTAATCTGAATAAACGCAGTCGGATATCTACTTGTTAATTGATATTTAAATTTCAATTTAATTATGATTTGCATCCGTAAGCACGCTTTAATCGATTAACAGTATGTCTTATTTATTGAGGATGACAAAATATGCATAGGAAAGGTACTTGTTAAAATTTATTCTAGAATTAAATAAATCCTAAGTATGTTTTGCCCATAAATTTGTAGTCCAAACTCGAATGGAGCTTTGACAAAGAACTATGCCAATTTAATGGATTTATAATTGAATGGGAAAATAAGAAAAAACTATTTCATATGTCAGATGGAAATTGCAAAAAGCTGAAATCTCAAATTGATGGAAAAATACTATATAACGAGATAAATTCCTAATACTTTCCTGTTTAAATAGTGGGAGAAGGGACTTTTGGTAAAGTAATGTTTAAAATTAATATTTTAGGTTATTAAGGTGGTTAGCCTATTAGATGGGAAGGAGTATGCTTGCAAAGTAATGAAGTTAGATAAAAAGTTTTCGAAAAACGTAATTTACAAAAATATAAAAATAGGATATAATTTATGAGTTGATGACAATGTAATCGTTGAGCCACGAGAATATAATCAAAAATAAGGAGGTGTATTGTTCTAACTCTCATTTCTTTATAATAATGGAATATTGTAGAGGAGGAACTCTCAGAGAATATCTAGCCTATAGAACATTGAATCAGGATTAAATAGTGATGATAATGAAGGTAATTTGAAACAACAATCTTTTCTAGTAAATTTTAAATGCAGTCATCTACATGAATTCAAAAGGATACATTCACAGAGACATAAAGCCAGAAAATATTTTATTGAGGGAACAAAATGATCTATCAAATGTACTAGTTTGTGATTTTGGATTCGCTGCCAAAGTCGAAGATATTTTAACCAAACATCCCAATTGTGGGACTCCTGGCTACATGGCCCCAGAAGTCATCAAATATGATTAGACAAATCCTTATAACGAATAATGCGATGTCTTCAGTTGTGGTTCTCTATTGTATTCAATGTAAATGAAGTTATTTACATTTTAGATTGACTGGGTACAATCTTGAAATGCAAAGTGAAGAAAGTGAAATCTACAATATAGAGGCTCAGGTGTATGAGGAGAAACAATTCACTTCGTACAATAATTAATTCAAGAATATTCTACTCAAAATGCTAGACCCTAGTCCTCATTTAAGGATTACTGCGAAGGATGCTCAAAAATACTTTGACAACTTCGATTCATTCGTTCTAGAAGAACTGAACTCACTTGATGTTATTCAAGAAGTGAAACACATTTGTATCTAAAAGCATGAGTTCCACTCATTTTGATTCTCCTTTTTTATGTTGATCGAGTTAATTTGTTTTATAAATGACTATAGTATGTTGTTTTAAATCAAATATATCACAAATATTAGAGATTATTATTTATAAGATTTTATCAGCAAAATAATTCTATACCCTCACCCTTAACATCATGTTGTGTTATCGTAAACACTCTCTATTTACCAAAAAGTACCACATCTTCAAAAATGACACTCAAATTCACTTAGGAGAAGTAAATTTGTTTTTAAGTTTTAGACCATTACTAAAATAAAATATACTATCAATCTTACTCCTTAAACCATGATTGATTGGTCAATTGATCATTAAACCAAATAACTCAATGGATTTTGGTTAAGTTGGAAAAAACAATAGAAGTTCTTCTTGATGGATGCAACAACTTGCACCTTACTCAAATCAACTCTAAATGGCATAGTGACCTATGGAAAACACCAAATTCTTTATGAACCCATCCAATGTCTATCACACAGCTCTTTTGGTTCTGTAATTATTTCTATATTTTATAGAACTTCTAGCTTGTAAAAATGAAATATCTTGACTCAAGAGATTCATACTTATGTAAAACGATTTAAAAATGTCTACAATATACTGATGATGTAAAATAACTAAATCATAACCTAGGATTTCTATTACTAAATTGAAATCCTTCGATCCTTGGATCATTCAAACATAATCAAGTTGAAAGAAGTCTACAACAGCAACAAGAATTATCATTTCGTCTTCGACTTCCCTCTAGGAGGTTCCTTGGCAGATCTAATTAAATCCAAATAATTATAATTCAAAGAAGTGTAATTAATTATTAGAGTAAATATTATAATTACACTAGCAATTGATGTCCACCATCTCCTTCATTCATTCAAAAGGCTATGTCCATAGAAACTTAAAACCAGAACACATCTTCTTCAAAGAACCAAACAATTTAGAAACTCTCCTCATTTCAGAATTCGAATTGGGATGCAGTCTAGTTGATTTCCCAAATAAGTATTAATTTCGTTTTTATTACTTTTAGACATCCCAATTGTAGAGTTCACGGTTACACTGCTCCTGAAATTAAGTCCAAAATATTTACTTAAAAATGTGATATCTTTAGCTGCGGTGTCATTTTATACAAAATGTATCTTCTTTTTATTTAAAAATAGTTTAACTAGAAAAGATTTGTTTGATCATGAGTCAATCAATTATGATGAAAAAATGATGTTGCATTTGATCAATCAATCAGATATCAATCCATAATACTAGAATTTACTAAGACAGATGCTTCAATTCAACCCAGACCTGAGGGCAACGGCAGATCAATGCTTAACTATTATTGATTCAATTTTAGAAAGAACTCCTACATTCTCCAATTTTCTCGATAGATTCAATTTAGATAATGATGGAATAAATGACGAAATCATTTCAATTGATTTGATTTAGGATTAAGAAGAATTAACTGAAAATCAGGATTTTATACAAAAACTGCCAATAATCCAGATTAATAAAAGAATTGAAATGTCCTATTGATTGTATATAATTTTGTATTTAATAACTTTCAACTTGTATTTAACTTGTATTCATATCCAATCATGACGTTTATTATTTTAAAAGCTTCTTTTTGATTATGGCAGAATATGTGAGTTGCGATATCTATATTAAATTTAAGTCTTTTCAATACTTAAAACTATACAATTTTTTTACTCCGAACAATATATATTAAGAGTGTAAAGTTGTGAGTTTAATTATATTTTTAAAAAACTATTAACATTATTGTATTAGTCGTTTTCTTTTGTAAAAAATCTAGAACTAAACTCAAACTTAAAAATTATACTATATTTAATTAATTTAATATATCTAAAATATATGCTAATAATTATAATAATTTTATGAATTTCGAACATTTAGAAAATTTATATTTCTCTCAATATAAGTTAACGCTTACCAGCTTTTATTAACCATATCTTAGTCATAATAACGTACAAACAATTTTAAATTCTGTTAATTAAAAATATACTGAAAAATTGATATTAATCATATAACTTTATTTTGAAAATTGAAAATAAAAAAATGTTGTATTCTGAAACTGTTGTTATCAATTGTGCTTAAATATTGAATTATAAGTAATACAGACTAATATTCTAGCTAATTTTGTATACAACAGAAATATCAAGTATTTTTCCAAGATTTTATAATATAGAATTTTCCTAATATTTAAATGAATGGAATGATTAATTGACAGTTATAAATCATGCGGATGATTTATATCTGTTGGTAGGCTGCAAGTGTGTTTCATTCTTATAAAAATTAATTATATATAATAAAAGTTACTCAATCATAGAATTGGGAAACTAAACAAAATAAAACCAGAAAGACAAAATTGTATAAATGATTTTATAATTAGAAGCTTTTATATAATGGTATTAGAATATTAATTGTGGTTTGATTATGTAAATAACAATTGGAGACATGTGGCATCTATGCTAAGAATTAGAGGCTTATTGATTAATATTATGATTAGTAGAGTAGCAAGTTCATTCTATAAATTAAGTTAAAAAATCTAATCTTATTTTTATTGTTAATTTAATGGGAAGTACTTGCTGCCATAAATAACCACAGCCGATCTCATCTTAGGGTAAACAATAAATACTATCTTAAGCAGAGTTAGTTTGTGATAATAGCAATCTTTCTATTGTTAAAAAGTCAAATCATAAAGAAGAAAGTCCAGGCGAACCACCATCGAGATTGCCATCTTAAAGTTCCCCTATTCCTTAGGTGTATGAGGGAGTATCTGCCCTGAATTAGATGAAAAATAATGTACCTGCCTTAAAATTCAGCAATACAAAAGGAACTTTTAAGGATGAGAGACAATTGAAGGATTCGAAGGAATCATTTGAGCCTTCCGAAAAATCAGATTAAGTCGTTGAAAGGAATAAGGACATGGAAGTAAAGTTGCCTGAAGTGGAATATACTCCTATAGAAAAAATTGTTTAAGCAGAAAAATTGGAGAAATAAAATGAAGCACAGTAAAAGCAATAATAAGATACGGGAACCAAGAAATCTCCAGCGGCTTCCTCAAAAACAGTTCCACGTGATCCTATAGATCACAATTCAAGCAGAAAATAGAGTATGGCTTCAGTGGGTTCGGTGTCTGTAAAATTTGGAGTGGAATTATTCGTAAATTTAAAAAAGCAATCTATAACCAAAGTGTACACTCTAGGTTAGGTTTTGGGCTAGGGTGCTTTTGGAAAGGTTTGGAAGGTGACCCATAAAACTACAGGTATTGAGATTGAAATAAATTGTGAGGTTTAATTAGAGCAATGAAACAGATTCGAAAGTCAGAATTAATTAAAGAAGATGAATAAAAAATGTTTTCCGAGATGAACCTATTAAAAAATCTTGATCACCCTCACGTTGTCAAACTATATGAATTGTATCAAGATTCTAATAATTATTATTTAATCACAGAGTATGATTTCCATATAAACTAGATACTTATGCGGTGGAGAGTTGTTTGAGAGAATAAAGAAGATGAATTAATTTAGTGAGAAGAGAGCCAGTGATTTAATGAGATAGATATTGATGGCAGTAGTCTATTGTCACGATTAGAAAATTGTTCATAGAGACTTGAAGCCAGAGAATGTCCTCTTTTCTGGGACAGAACCAGAAGCCTTACTCAAAATTATCGATTTTGGCTGTTCCAGAAAATTTAACTCTCAAAAGAACATGACCAAAAGACTTGGAACAGTAATTTTATCTAAATAATCATCTAGCCATATTACATCGCTCCAGAGGTCTTGAATCACAATTACAATGAGAAATGCGATGTGTGGTCATGCGGTGTCATTTTGTACATCTTATTATGTGGGTATCCTCCATTCACTGGAAAAAACGAGAATGAAATTTTCGATAAAGTGAAGACAGGCAAATTCAAATTCCCAAGTAAACTATATAAGTTGATTTTTTTAGTGGAGGAGTGGGATTCAATAAGTAGAGAGGCTAAGAACTTAATTCAGAGAATGCTTTAAGTGGATGTGAATTCAAGATATTCAGCATCTTAGGCTTTAAATGATCCTTGGATTTAAAAGCATGCTCCTAATACCTAAATCAATAAAAAAGTGCTTGAGAATCTGGCATAGTTCCAAGCCAAAAGTGAATTTCGATCTGCCATCGTCCAATATATAATTAGTCAAATGACAACAAACAAGGAATTGGAAGATCTCTAAAAGACTTTTCAATCTCTGGATAAAAATAAAGATGGAGTATTAAATAAAGCAGAATTAGTAGAAGGATACACGAAAATATTAAAAAGCAGAGAACAGGCTGAAGAATATGTTGAAAAGATTATGTCTAAGATCGATAAGAATTAATCAGGTGTAATTGAGTTTAATGAATTTTTGATGGCTGCAATTAATGAAGAAAAGATAATCCCAATTAAGAAAGTCGAATAGGCATTTAAAATATTTGATTCAGACGGAGACGGATACATAAGCAGACAAGAAATAGAAGAAGTGATGGGTGAATTGAATGCGGATGTTTGGAAACTATTTTTGGAAGAAACAGATGGAAATAATGATGGCAAGATATCCTATGAGGAATTCTCAAAATTAATTATGAGCAAATGAAAATATTCTGTTTTTTATAATACTTCTTATTTACATTTTATTATAGCTTATTAAACACAAAATATGAAGCTTCAAGATAATTCAAAAAAGCATTGATACAAGTGTCAATGAGCTGACTATTCCAACACTAATTTATCCTCCTCAGCATATTCAATATCCATAAATTAAAATTGTTAAGATATATTCGATACATAATCTAGAGATCGATATTCACTCCTACTAATATTACTAATCAAATCCTCAAGAGTTCTTATAGTTATTGGTTTTACATATACATCTCTCATTCCAGATTCTAATAGTCTATTTATTTCATCCTCTCCAGAAAACCCTGTTAGTCCGAATATTGGAATTGGGGTAATATTTTCTATCTTTGCAAATCTATGTGATGTATTTAGTTGCTTCTTCGCCATTCATGATTGGCATTTAATAATCCATTATTATACCTTTATATCCTTTGCATTTATGTTCTTGAAATTGTTCAAACGTCTTTTCTAATAATTGGATGCAATGTCTACCATTTTCAGCCTTTACCACTTAATGTTGCAATTTCTTTAAGAGAGATTCTAAAACTATCAAATTATAAGGCTCATCATCTACAATCATAAATGTGTTCTCACATTAGCACTAGTTCTTTGTGTGAATTTAAGTTACATTTGACCAAGGACCTAACTTTAAACTAAAATTGTTATAGGAATGAATAATCCCCTCGTTTTCTACACTTGACTCTTTCAATATCAATTCACTAGAGAAGTTTTCACCTGAAATTAGCCTTATTTTTATATGCATTTAAATGGTTGTGCCCTTATCAATATCTGAATCAATAGAAATGTAATTTGTATTATCATCTCTTCCTGACACATTCTTTATTAGCTAATTCGATGCTCGCAATCCAAGCATCATCCCAGAAGATGCATCATTTGAATTTCTCTCAACCTAAAAGTCTTCCCCATTTAACAAAGATCGAATATACTCCAACCTTTCAGCAGTCATCCCTAAACCATTGTCTCTCACCTCAATCATATATACATCAGCAAGATTTGTAGACAAATTTGCATTCGAAGAAAATTGACTGGCCATCTTGTATTTGCTAATAGTTCTGCGTTATTTATTGTTATTTGATGAGTCATGACAACAGTCGCTTCCACTCAATCTCTATTACTGAGGAGAATAAGAATGAGGAACATGCAATTTCGAATGCCTATTAGTTTATTGCTTATTTTCAGGTATTTAAATGTAACTATTCGTATTATTATTATTGTTAGTACTTAGATCTTTTGATAATCTAATTGAAATTAATCCATCAGATTTACTAAATCTAATACTATTAGATATGATATGAATTAGTATACTCTGAAATTTCTCAGAATCCAACAATTCATAGTTACTTGTTTGTATTTTATCCTCATACTTAATTTTTATATATTTTAGTTCTGCTTCATCTTTGAATAAATCCATCACTTCCTAAATTAATACGTTAATTCTCACCTTCTCTAATTTAACAGGCAGTTTTCTTTCCCTCAATAAATTGTAATCAATGATTGAACCAATAATAAAATTTTAAATTCTACAATTATTAAAAGCAGCCCTTAAGTATTTCTTCACTTCCCAATCAAAATTTTAATTGTAATTTTGCACCATCTAGATCATGCCCTAAATCGCATTTAATCTAGTTCTCAACTCGTGAGATATGGATCTTATTACTTTACTTTTAAATTAATTCAGATTCTTATAATAGATAGACTTTAGGTTTGTAGATATATCATAAAGATTAATTAGAGTTGCATGTTTGTTATCCTCATATTGCAAAAGTGTTTTCATCTTCACTTCAATAACCACTTTCTGTGATTCGTCAATAGCCTACTCTGGACGATCAATGAATTAGCATCTTAAAGTGTATATTTTGCCTTAGGTCTTTTTGTCAGTCTTTGTTATGTATTGAATAATTTGGTTTAAGTTTAATTATTCATCATCCATATTGTCAAGATTGAATTTACTTGAATCAGGTGGTAATTGGTTTTTGACCTCTTCAATATTTGCAAACATTTAAGAAAAAAATAAGAAAATCTCGTCATAATTGCTCATAATTGATGGCTGAGTCTCAAACAGATAGTCCTATTTTACAGACTTAGTCATAAATGTTTTTGTCTTTGTGTGAGATTTGTCTATCAATTTCTTCATATATCTATTTGAAAATAAGACTTATTCGCAATCTGAATTCAGAATACAAACTGCTGTTGGAATACTTCTTAGAGATTGCTCGGCAAAATGTTTAATCTTACTTAATCTCATTATTTGCTAATCCCAGTAATAGACAAGAAGTAAATTCAAAAAAACAATATGGTAAGTGAATAAACATTAAAAGATCGTGAATTCAGTTTTATAGCCTAAGTAAACAAAAAATTTAATTAGAATGATTAATCTTAATTTGAAATTGTTCATTGTTGCCATTACAATTTGCATTATTATAAATATTAAAAGAATACCTATTAATCTCTGCAAATTCTCATACTCCATTAGCAATTGTTATAAATACAGCTACAATAAGGTTTCGAACAAAATAAAGAGTATTTGCGTCAGAGTTACTTTCTGCCTTTTGGATAATTTTTGGATTATCCACTTATCATACACTATCGTAGCTAAAGGAAGCACAATTAATAAATATGTATAAAGAGTGACTTGTTAACTATTATATGATTAGTATCCTTCAATATTATTTATCATTATCAATACAATACTGTAAAACAAATAGATTTTCATTATTTTCACAAATAGAGGCCAGAATTGAGAGATAATTAACTCATTCTGGCAATCAATATAAATGGAGTCATTATAATCTTCGTATATTTCTAATGCTAATCTTTTTTATTTTCTTAACCATATTAACATTGTTTTTAATATATAAAAAACTATAAATAAATTACATACTAATTAAACTTAATCTTTTTTAGAATTTTTCAATTCTCTTAAAAATCCAAAGATACTTTTCCACCCTGCTTTGCTTTACTTCCACTCTTAAACAAATAAAAAATTAAGAAGAACTGAAAAGTATCAAAGGACCTTTTTATTATATAAAAATGAGTCCAACTCTCAAAAACCTGTATATATAAGAAATCATATAACTGAACCAACCTAATCATATTAGTAACTCTCACATCTAATGTTTTTAAACTTATTTTCTATTTATAGAATTAACATAAAATCATATAATTTAAATTTATAAAGTTGTCTTCTACTTTTAACATAAATTATAAAAAAGATGAAATTCAAATAGAAATATTAATTTAAGAGTATTTATGTCTAAAATAAGAAAATATTATATGAAGATATATTTTTAAATTTATTTTCCATTTAAATTGGAGTTACTCCACTTTTATAATAGACAGAGAATTATTTAAAAGTTAAATATTCCTTCAAAAATATCACCACATGTTTGACTGTGAATGCAATAATCAAGCATAATAGATATAATAAAATAATCAAATTCATAGTTGATCAATATTATGCATAACCTTCTTCTGCATATACTAAATACCATATTTAGTAGAAGTGAACATTTTGCCAACATTTCCATTGTATTCTTAGACAGTGGAGTGTATTTACTTCTTTTACTAAGTCTTATCAACTGATCTATGCTGAGATAATTTAGGTTTATTTTCGGTTTCAGTATGTTAAATTATATCTTTGATTGCCTATTTGCAATTCTCTATTTCTTAAAACTAATTAGGTTTGTGTTGAGCATTAGCTTTTGCTGGCGGAAGTGATTTGTTTTTTTATTATTTATTCATTAATAATATTAGTGAAAGTATATTATAATATTTAGAGATTTATCACAATTTTTACTAAAATGTTAAGTTTAAATTAATCAGATTGTATTCCTAATCAATTCAATTTAGGGTAAACTTAAATTTCTGTGTTTCAGTATTTACTCATATCAATTAGAAATGTAATATAAGTAAAATTAACGAAATGTAAGTAAATTGAAAAATAGAAGGTTTTGGGTACATGTTGGAATGATTCAAAATAATTCAGTTAATGAGATATTAGAATCTGTTCTTATTGTCAATAATTAGAATGCAATTGGTTAAAGATTAATGTTTCTATATAATTATTTTTAACAGTTAATTTATTTTAAAATGACTGAGGAAATTGAGACTCATATTATGCAGAAGTATGAAATAATCTAGAAAATGGGAAAAGGAGCTTATGGTGTTGTATGGAAAGCGATAGTTCGAAAAACAAAATAAATAGTTGCTCTGAAGAAAGTATTTGATGCTTTTCACAATGCCACAGATGCACAACGCACATTTCGAGAGGTAATGTTTTTACAAGAGATGGCCCATGACAATGTTATTCGAATGACAAATATTCATAAGGCTGATAATAACAAGGATCTTTACATAGTTTTTGATTTCATGGAAACAGATCTTCATGCCGTCATTCGAGGCGGAATACTCGAAGAAATCCATTAAAGGTATTCTTATTACTATTTTAGATATATTATCTACCAGATACTCAAAGCACTCAAGTATATTCATTCAGCTGAAATAATCCATCGAGATTTGAAACCTTCAAATGTTTTATTAGATGCTGAGTGCAATGTAAAGGTTGCAGATTTTGGACTTGCAAGAAGCCTCCTCATGCCGATAGATGAAAATGCCATTTTGACTGAATATGTAGCAACTCGTTGGTACAGAGCTCCAGAGATCCTTCTAGGATCCACTTTCTATACTAAGGCTGTCGATATGTGGTCAGTTGGCTGCATCTTAGGGGAGATGATCAATGGTAAACCTATTTTTCCTGGGAGTTCAACTCTAAATTAAATTGAAAGAATTATTGAAGTCATTGGTAGACCCTCAACATCAGAGTTAGAGAGTGTACAAGCTCCATTAGCTTCTTAAATAGTCAACAATATTCCAAAAGGAGCTCGAATTGGATTTACTAATTACTTTCCTAAGGCAACACCTTAGGCCTTGGATTTAATTCGAAAGTTATTGTCATTCAATCCTCATACAAGAATAACTGTAGAGGAAGCCTTGAGACATCCTTATGTCAATGCATTTCACAACGAATAGTAAGAGCCAACAGCAAACCCAATTAAAATATCAATGAATGATAATAAGAAATTTAGTATAAAGGAATATAGAGAAGCATTATATTTAGAAATAACTAAAAAATATGATTAAAAAAATGAAACTAAGATTGAAAATAAATTTGAAAACTCTTTAAAAGCTAATGATGTTCTCTAGTAACAATAGGAAAGAAGAAGAACCTAAAGCTTTTAATAGCCATCAAAAAAGCCTGTTGGACCTTCAAATACTACACTTCCAAGCGAATAACCTATAATTAGATAATCCGACACTAACATTATGCAATAAATCAAAGATTATGGAAACAGGGAAGTTTAATAAAAGGATTATTGTATCAAGGATTACCTTCCAAAAGATTATAGCTCAAAGGATTATTTTGCATAATAAAATGTGAACGTGAGTAAAGAATTTATTAGTGGGTAATTTGGTAAAGAAGTTAATAAGGAAAACTAAAGATCCAAAAATATGGTTGAAGTCACAAATAATAACAATAAATTAGAAAGAGATACTTCCTTATCTAAAAAATAGATTTTGTCTATGTGGACATAACCTAACCAAAAACCATAAATCTCTAATCCACAATAAAGACCACCTTCAGTAAGTGTATATGCAGCACTGAATTAAAATTCAAATAATTAGTTAAAATAATAATAATAACAGTAATAATAATATTAATAATAATAACAACATCAATAGTCATAATAATAATAATCGTAATAATAATCAAATAATGTTTCTACATAAAAAAGAATGAGTAGTAAAATGCCTACTAGTGGTACAAGCACTTCTTTTTATTTTCCAGCTGAAAAAACAAATTCAAGCTTTAATTATGGAAAAAAAATATCCAAAGACAACAGTTTTTTATTAGATTAAAATGTCCAAAGCATATAAAATATACCATAATCTTCAATGCCCTAGTAGCCATAATAAGGGGGACTGTATTAAAAAAGTATTTATCTTAAATTAATATTTGTAGCGACTAGTGTGAATTATCAAACCTATTTGATGCAAAAGGGTATCCCTGATTAGAGAAGCAAATAAAACTTAGTTAATCATTAAAGAACTTAGTCTTAGTTGGGTGCGAATAATAGTGTTCTTATAAATAGATGCAAGGAGTTTTTGTAAAATATGCATGCCTTAAAATAATGAATTAGATTATGATCACTTTTCATTTTTAAACTTAATTATTTTTCTTTATTTGAAATCATAAAATTAAGATATTGCAGATAGCAAATTATCTAATTATTTTATCTTCATAAATATTTAGACAAATAATATAAATAGATTCATTAAATTGAACAGCTACAGGAACATTTAGAATTGTCCTTATTCAGGTGATATTTTTACACTATATAAACATCACATAATTCTCTTTTCTCAATAATATCTCTAAAGGAAATTCTTTTCCCCTTCACACCTTTAATAATTGGATGATTGTATTTGTCAACTCTTGGATAGACAAACTTTTTTTGTTTTTTTTCAATCTCTGTTATACAGATATAAGTTTATGTTTGAGTTTCGATTCGTTCATTCATATTAATTTATTTATTTATAAACTACAAATTTCATACTTCACTTATTTATATGAAAATTATTATATACTTCTTTGTTTTTTGGATACCCTTACTGAATATCATTCTGCTGAATAATTATATTGTTGTTGTGTTAAATTCAAATTTAGAATTTTGAATTAAATAAATTATACATTAATTATAAGAGCAAAAAGATAAAACAAAATAGCAAGTTGCAAAGTTAATTCCACAAATTCTTGAATTTTAAGTGTAAAATAGACTTTGTTGTTATAAAAATTAATGATGAAAACTTAAAATATAAGCAATTTTATTTGTGATAATATTAAGTATTAAGTTAAATTAATATGATTCGCTACGCAAGGCGTATGCAAAAATTCTGCAAAGCAGCAGGTGTTTTTGATGTCGCTGTGATAGGAGGAGGGTCAGGGGGTTTAGCTTTTGCACTTGTAATTAGTTTTAAATATAAATTAGGAAGGTGCAAAGTTAGGATTAAAGATTGCTGTATTTGATTATGTCACTCCTTCAAGCCAAGGTTCAATCTGGGGATTAGGAGGGACTTGCGTAAACGTAGGATGCATACCAAAGAAACTTATGCATCATAGTGCTTTACTTAAGGAGAATAATGAAGGTTCAACTCCTTATGGATGGACTCCAAGTGAATAAGAACAAGTTAATTGGGATGTTTTGGTAGAGAATGTCTAGAACCATATAAAAGGATTGAATTATGGGTACAAAGGAAACTTATAAAAATCTGGAATTCTTTATTTGAATGAACTCGCTACTTTTAAAGATAATCACACTTTACTCTATGGCAAATTGGATGATTTCAAATCGAAAGATGAGAATAAATTAAGAGAATTGAAATTCAAATATTGTGTAATTAGCACTGGGGGACGTCCAACTAAATTATAATCAATTGAAAAACATGCCATTACATCTGATGATATTTTTTCCCAGTAAAAACCTCCAGGCAAGACTCTTGTTGTCGGTGGTGGATACATTGCTTTAGAATGTGCAGGAATGTTAAAAGGATTAGGTTATGATGTAACATTAATGACAAGAGGAAAATACCTAAGAGAATTTGATCAGGATGTTGTGAAAATGATCCTAGACCATTATCAAAAATATTTGAGAGTCAATATAGTACCCGAGTCATTACCATTCCATTCTGAATAAAAGGATGATAAAATTTTAGTTAAGTGGAGGTCTACTGTTAATTCATAAGAAGATGGTGGTGCTTTCGATACTGTTCTTATGGCAATAGGAAGATAAGCCAACACCTAAATGCTTAATTTGGATAAAGTAGGTATCAAAGTGAACCCTAATAATAACAAAGTAACAATATGAAAATAATTTAGATTTTTGCTAATTACAATGGAGAAGCAGAAAGAACTGAGGTTGACAATATATTTGCTATTGGAGATGTATTAAATGGAATTCCTGAATTAACTCCAGTTGCTTCAAAAAGTGGTTAATTATTAGCCAAAAGAATACAGCTGCTAATAAAAGGTTCATATTCAAAATAAGAATATGAAAATACTAAGTTAGAATACAATGATTATCCAACAACTGTGTTTACTCCTCTCGAATACAGTTTTGTTGGTTTAAGCGAAGAATAAGCAAAATAAAAGTTTGGAGAACATGATATTGAAATCTATCATTCTAAATTTGTTCCTTTAGAAGAGCAATTATGCGATAAACTTGACGAAAATTATGAACTAATGCAAAGAAAGGTGTATGTCAAAGCTATATGTCATGTTTCCGATAATAATAAAGTTGTTGGATTACATTACCTTGGACCTAATGCTGGGGAAGTAATGTAAGGATTTGGTGTTGCAGTAAAATTAGGAATGAAATTAAGTGATTTATAAAGAACTGTAGGAATTCATCCTACTAATGCTGAAGAATTCGTTCTTCTTAAAGTTACTAAATCTTCAGGAGCAGACTTTGAAAAACATGGATGCTGAGCTTGAGATTCTCATAATTAATACTCTCTATTAAATAAATATATACTTTATGTATATATTTTAATGACGCATAATATCGAAATTACTCTCTAAAGATCTTATGCTGATGAAATATTTAATGGAGATGGTGAATTTATTTCATAAATTATTTGTTATTTCAACTTAAAAATTTATTAAGAGTTTTTTACAAATCTAATTTCGATTAGATAATATAAAATAAATTTCAAAATTTAAACAAGGAAGATTTACTGTTTTCTTCATTAATAATCTTACAATAATTGCTTATACTCAAGGAAGTTCAACTAAAATTTATCAATTTTATTACTCTATCGAAATCGGTTACTTCAGAAAACATTTCTAATAATTGCTATTCTTCGATATCAATTTTTTTAGTAATACTTTTAACAGTTATATAGCCATTTTTATTTGATAATTACATATAAGATTATGAAATAACATTTTCATTTAATAGTTATTCTAAATCGATGGCAACTATTAAAAATTATTATAAGCTAATTTTTGATTTATCATCCTCATCTAAAACTTCATAAATTTTATCGCTGTTCTTTTTATATTTATAATTTTATGTAGCAATTGAAAATAATTGGAAAAACTCAACCATATCAATTTTTCCATCGGCATCGAGATCATATTTACTAAATAAATCAGTTAGTTTCAGTTTTTCATTATAGAGAAATCTTTCAATTATAAAATAAGTCAAAACAGAAGTTAATGAATTAAATTTTATGCATTTTAATTTTTAAAACGAATTACCAATTGTATTTCTTGAATCTAGATTTTATATCCAACTCATCTCTTTGACTTGCTATAAAGATAAACGATGTAATGGTATTGGATCAATCATCTTCATAATTAATTTACATATCTTATTTGGCAATTTCTGGCAATCAAATTCTTCATTTAATTCCTTTTTGATTTCCCATTTTGATGATTTACTCAGCATAATTCTAAAGGGATGTCCAGTTAATAACTAGAACCCAATCAATCCCAATGCTTATACGTCGTTTTTTTAAGTGATTTTTGTTGGTAATTTTAAGTATATGTTTTTTGTTTGAACTAAGAATAAATTGATTTCAGAACGATCTTATACACAATTAAAAGTATCAAAATGAATTGCTCCATGACAATATGATTCGGAATGTAGATATCCGATAATGTCAACCATTTTATTAAATATGATACCTGCACTTTCTACGCTTAGTTTATTCATTTTTAAATATTCGCTGAACTTTTTCATTTCTTAATGCTCATATAAGGCATAATAATTTTAGTCATCATCATATATGTCTATAAGCTTTATTATAAACTCATGATTCTACATAATTTCATGTTTATACCAATGGCATAGAAATCATTCTATTAATAAGTTCCTCGCTATCTTAAAATTACTTTTTATAAACATAAGCCTTATATTAATTATCAGAATTGATTTATTTTACGATTATATAATCCAAACTTTTAGTTATCATCCGAAAATTTTCTGAAAACCCTTATTTTATTGATAATTCAGGCCCTTATTATATGGCTTTACTTGATTGTTATTATATTGATCCTGTATTCTGATGGAAAATTGGAGTTTAAACCAACGATGATTTTTATTGAAGTTGGTTTACAAATGATCCCCCATGAAAACTATTATTTTCTTGCCCAACTTAATTGTTATTGTTATTATCTTCTTTAATAAGTTCTTTTTTTGTCTTACTGGAACAGAGTCCCATTAAATTTATGATAAATAAAATATAGAAATACTGGTGCCAAATTTAATATTACTAATAATTAATGATCCTCTCATTTATATACTTTAATTAGTTAATATACTAGCAATTGATATAAGAACCGTAAATATCACTTTATCAATATTTATAAATTCAAAATCACTTTTCCAAGCATTTCCTCATTTTCATAAAAGCATTTTTCAATTTCGATTAATTTTGAATTTTTTTCATTTTATAGGTGAGAAAAATTTATTTTAATTTTTATTAATTGAAATATTGATATTACTAATGAGCTTTCTGGTTTTTATAAAGTTTAATTCTTCAGGTTTTGTGTTAAAGCTTTCTTTTGCTACATGTTTTACCACCTTTAAGCCTAATAATTTTAACAATTTGAGGAAATAAATATTATTGGAGCAATGAGCAAAGGATCGTTTGATGTATTAATGATTAAATGAAATTTAAAGACATAATTATTAAGAAACTTTATAATTAGGTTGATTTAATAATGTATTATGTAATTTAGGCTCAAATTTTTATAAATTTATAACAAACACTAGTCTATTCAAAAAGAGGTTGATTTAAGAAGAGAATTGTTGAAATATGTTGGTTGTGTGTGCTTGCCTCCATATTTTTCATAATTTAACCATATTAAAAGTGTATGGTGACATGAAATTAACTTGAAGAAATCAATAATTGCCTCGTTTATTCAGTGATCATCCCTTAATTCATTATCAATCAGTGTTCAAAGTAGTCGAAAAGGGTTTGAGAAAGGCAGATTTAAATATTAGATGAATAATGTTTTTGTAATTAAAATAACAAATATTAACAATGAATCTTTTGATTTCAGATAATTCTAATTTACAATTATCCCAACTATAACTCATAAATATCAAATTGTGGAAAAGACTAGAGTATTCAATAGGTACAAAATTATAATAAGTCAAATATATTATGTAGTTAATATAAATTGTTCGAAGTGGATAAAAAATCAATCAAGACATTTGGTCTTAAAAGCTAACATGAATAATTAGGAGCTTGAGCGTAGTATAGATTTACTACATTAATTAAACAGAGAGTCCATTTTTTTATTTAGAAATTTGTCTTGAAACTTATTAAAGAATTTTAAATTTCGATCATTAAAATATTATGGTTTTTATTATGTTCTACAAATCACCTGTTATGGTGTTTATGTATTCACTGAGTTTAATACATTGAAGCCGTTTTAATTAAATCTTTTTCATAAATGCTGGCTTGGAATAGGAGTGAATTTTGTAGTTTGCACATTTATTAAACTTTATTGATCAGATGTAAAGTATTAGCATGAATAATAAAAATTGTTTAAGTTTTGATAATTTAAATTATAAATATTAAATTATTGGTTTTAGTAACTTTAATCTCATTCTATGATTTATTTTTATGCCTCTTCAAATAGGTTTAATTAAACATGCAGGTGAATATAAAATATATCAACATTTCCTAAAATTATAATATTTCTTCTTTGAATTCAATTCAAAGTCTCCAACATATAATCAGATCTATTAGTCAATTAATTTATAATCTAAGAAACTAGTGAGAGAGTAGAAAATTATGATTAATCTCGTGATTTAATTAAATATTGATATTATTTTCAGTTGGCAATTAACCACTCAAATCCATTTTCATTATTTTACTTATGTTTCATTTCAATTATGTTTGTTATAATAAATTACAAATAAATTAATGAGAAAAATTTAATGTTGATATACTTAACACTTTCAGGTGGCTTTTCTACTAAGTTATATATATTACAGTTTAAACATCGAAATGTACTTACATTTTATATAATATTCTTTTCTATAATAATTTAAGTATATCAGCTCAAACTTTTTTTATATATGATGTGCTTATTTTTGATTCCTCTTATATCAGACTTTATCAATTTCTATATTTGTCAAATGAGATCTACTTTAAAAAAAGTTATTGTATTTTATATTTAAATATATCCAGATGAGAAGGTTTACATTTATTTCCTTAGTCATATTAGCAACATTAATATACATCCAATTTTAATAAGATTAGAAATGTATAATATACTTATTATGTAAATAAACTATTATTGATATGTATTTCATGAAATCTTATTCAAGTAATAATAATCTACTTCGTTATATATCTCTTCCGAAATTAGATCATAGTTTTTATCTATGTTACTTCTGGCTTAAGATAATAATTCTGCATCATCCTCATTTAAGATACAATTATTTTCAAAAGGTTTTTCTGACTTTTAACTAACAAGCGTCTCGATATCTTTATACTAAGGAAAATTAATCCTTTATCCCAATTTAATGAGATTTATAAAATTCATTTCTAAATTTCGATGATCTAATAACAAAATACAACCTAGATATCTCATACAATAAATTCAAATAACTAAGTTTTTATTACATTTATTTGGAAGCTTTATCAAAAAACTTCCTAAATGTATTTACATCTACTTACATTTGATTGAAACGAACTTAAACTATTTTTCCAAACCAATTCTTTTTTATTTCTATTTTTTTAAATTCTGGGTAATAAAAACTTATGAGCTCCTCTAATACCTTTTGATTTAAATAGAATTCATTTAAATACATAATCATGTATTTGAACATAAATAATATTGATACTATAGATCCTATATTTGCTAATAGATCTCCTAAACGTGGATACTCTAATATCGTTTTTTCTTGAGTCCCTCTCATTCCAAGATAAACTGCTCCAATTACATCATTTTAATATGCTTTTTAACAATATTCAAAAGAATTTGTTTAAGTCTGTATTTGTGCATCTACAATATATCCCTTATATTCAGATGTGCCAAATAAAAAATATTTCTAGAGTTCAAATAAATTTGTCCCCACACATATATATACTGAATAGCAATATTGTTACTCGATTTATAAAAAGTATTCTTAGTATCCACGTTGTTTTGATCCATCTCGAGGATCTATCGTTGTTGAATAAAATTAAAGAAGTATCAAATTGTTAGTTACGCAAAAAATTCTTCTGTAAGTTCTGGAGAAGCACATTTTTCATTTGGCTTTAAATATTTTTCTTAACATAACACTACTTCTATATACATTTCATTTGTAGTGAAAATTTAATTATCAAAATAGGAAAAACCAAACTTCATATTTGGTATATATAAGTCTCCAAAAGATGTAGTTGTATGATTTTGTATTAATTATGCCTCTGTCAACTAATTATTATTAGCGTAAACTACTAATGGCAATAAAATATTATTTGTAAATGGATCAATTTTGCCTTCATAATCTTTCCAATATGATACTCTTATTACATCCTCACTCAAGTCGAGCAGAGAGTAGTCTGATAAATAATTCTCCCGGGATATTTTTGGATTCATTTAATTTGTTTTCCAGAGGTAACCAACCCATAATGAATAGGACAAACTTAATAAACATATTGTAATTGTTAGTATTCCTCCTATT